CTGTAACTAGTGTTCTGGGCCTACCTTAACAGTTGAAAGCCCCTGAAGAGTAGGTGACGCCCTCCCTTTCCTCTCTCGTGTCCTTTTCGCTGAGGTGCTTCTGCTTTCGTTTCCACTTTGAAATGTTCTTTCCTTTCCGCTTGGAGTGACGAATTCTTGTCTCTGCTACTCCAATGGCATGCGAATTTGTCGTCACAGCTCCCCAGGTCAGGCCGAGTCTTCCGAAGACCTTGTATAGTCCTGTAGGTCCCATGTTGAACGAAATTACACTCAACGCCACAGCTGTTTCAATGGTTAGGAGGTGGGCGCAAAGCACCTTGGGGCAACGTCTCCAAATTGGCGAATTGAAACATTCATTTGGGTTCTGCGTGGACATTCTGACACACCTAGAGAGGAGTTCTGGGTCAGTCAGCCTCTTGACAATGGGGAATACGTTCCTTATATCAGGCGATAAGGTTGGGTTGTGGGGAGGGGGCTGTTCACCCTTGGCGAGGGCACGATTGTGCTTGCACCACGATGATTCACCCTCTGGGCACAAACGATGGTTCGGGACGCTGTCCGTGGACATCATGTGGAACAGGCCACCCATAACACCCAACTTCATTTTCTGAATATCCGGGGCATTCTGTCTCAGATTTGTGGCGTAAGTGTTTGTGATTGTTTGTATTTTGGCAGCGGTGAGTTTCCTGTTGAGCTTCTGCTTGTTGTCTTTTTTCACCTGTTCTAACTGGTTATATTTGCGTTTTGCGATGTGGTTCACGCAGTCTTCCTTCTGCACCGGAATGTCGTGGACACCAAGGTCGTTGACACGTGTCAGTGCCTTGCTAACACCATCACACAACATAGTGCCATATATCAGCCCACGGCACTCAATAGATCGACTAAAGATCACCTCAGCTGCTCTAGTTTCCATTGCGTTGGAGGAGCCATCAAAATTTTTGTTACACAAAGGTTTGTGCCGTTCGAACCAGGACAAGTAATGCGGGGAGTCGGGATCTGGCGCACGAGTACACCCTGTGCAGAAATTAGCCACTGTATGTGTGTCCACTACATAACCACTGTCCACATCAATCGCCACACCTACTCTATAGTGTGACAAGTGACCTCACTTGTGCCAAGTACCGTCGTAGGAAACGTTGACAACTTGAACGCCAGACGGACTTGATCGTTCAGTTGCGTACACGTTGGCATGATGACGTTCTTTAATGACTCGGGCAGAAGCCGACATAACGTCCTCTGCAGCACCGATGGCAGCCTCTCTCACTTCTAGGCCGATTTCATGG